CAGCTCATTTTGCAATCAGCGCATCCCCCTTGGGAGTCTCCTCTCAGTTGTGGGTGGGGCTGTTTCTATACCTTCCAGGTGGCCAAGAGCATGCTTCTCTAATCCAAAAATCCAAGAGCAAAATATCCCTCCTAACTGCCATTACCCACCCCTTAAAATATATTTCCTACCTGGTTATTACACACCAAGACTAAAAGCTCTCCCATAAGGCAAAGTAATTTTTGATACCTTCCAAAGTAAAAAATGTCAGGTAATGTAATGCAAAATAGAACACAGCCTTGGATTTTGAGAGGGATCTATTCTCTTTCAATTCCTGGGGTTCCATGAGGAAAATGGAGGTTTTTCCCAGAATGGGTCTGTCGGACCTCCTGTATTTTTCCCTAAGAGTCCCAGGCTGTTAGAACTTATTTTCGGTGCTCTCATGTGGACATCAAGAGTGTCAAGAAGACAAAAGTGGACAAAAACAATTCAGTCAACTGAGAAGAAGAAAAAAACCCTTTATTTTTATTTTATTTTATTTTTTTCCTGGCAATTTTCATTTTTAAAAAACCCTTTTTTAACTAATAATAATGAGATCCAAGAGGAGAAAAAAACAACATAAAGGTCTTTTAAATATATGTACAGTTTGGATATCTGCTTTTAATGAAGTTGATTTTAACCTTACAGCTCTTTAAAAAATTATTTTTTAAATATCTAATTACTAGACTCTAGCCAGGTCAGACAGTCAATATTCCTTGCTTTTGAACTTTACCACAGGTAACCTCCCATGTGAAATTAATGTTTTAAATAAGGTTGTAATGGATGCATAATGTGTCTCAAAGAGATAATAAGCAGTTTCTTTTTTTTTTTCTTAAACAAGATTTAGAGTCTTTCCAAAGGTAGTTCAAAGGAAAATTCAAGATGGGAAATCAAAAGTGGTCCACAGGGGAAAAAGAATAAGTGACAAAAAGTTATGCAAATAAACCAGAAAGGACTCATTCCCTAAGCCAAGAATTGAACCCAGGCTGCCATTGTCAAAAGACAAGCCTTTAGCTACTGAGTTATAGCATTGAGCAGTTTCTATTGCTCTTCCTAGAAGAAGCCTAGGGCAGGCAATTTTGAGCTTGCAAAGGCTTTTAACTGCTCAAGATAATTTTTAGGGTTAACTATGACATGAACCCCCAAAATCCTGTCCTCTGGATGGCAGAGACCAAGAGAAAGTATCCCCACATGGTCACAAGGTGAGGCCCTTAAGGACACAAAACAAGACAAAGAAATTTCATCTGGTGTTGGTTTCAGGTACACGCAGCAAAGTTTGTAACTGAGCAGCCTTCCAGGCTGTCTTGAAAAGTGGGGAATCCTAAACCCAAATTCTATCCTGTGATACCCTTCTCTTCATTACAGAACAACACAGAAAAACAAATTCTTAGCACGAAGTGCACCACATTTGCTACAGCCTAAGACTAGTCTCACAAATCCTTTCTTCTATTAATCAAATCCTTACAGAGGAGACAAACAGTGATATTTGCCATTTACACACGGGGGGTGGGGGGGGGCAGAGAGAGAGAGAGAAAGAGAGAGAGACAGAGACAGAGGCAGAGAAGAAAAGAGAGAGCAGAAACTTGACTGGTAAGAAATTCTTACTCTTTTTGCCAGCATACCAGGTTTCCATGTTCCCTTTCTCTGCAGCTTCCAGAAGAATAGAGCAGCTTTTGATGAACCCGCTGAGTGTGCCATACCTGTGGGGACCAAGCCCTGTTACAAAAGAAAATCATCCTTTTCTGTTTTATGGAACTAGGCAAAAGTTTCTCACTTTTGCAAGATGCTGCCTGACGGGTTGCATGGGGAACTGAATTAACATCTTCCATCCCAGCCGAAGCAAAATACACATAACTCAACAGATACTAGTCACCTCGTTCAGCAACCAATATTGACCTGGCAAGGCTCAAACTATCTCATGTTGGTTCCTGTAGTCTTTGATCCACTCCAGGTGGAGAGGGATGATCTCCAACTGGTAATTCAATGGGTGGTCTCTGGGGGAGATGAAGAGTGGACAGTCACCCCATGTCAGGCCTGTTGAGCTTTCTTCAGGGCTCACCAGATGTAACCCGACTTATGGAGGGTTCTCCGAGTTAGGCCTGCTAGACATCCATCAGCAATTCCTTCAGAGATCCCCTCCACACACACAACAAAGACAAAACAGGCAGAAGGCCTTTGAGACACAGATTCCAGACCCAGTCACCAACCAAGAGTATTCCTCCAAACGAATCCCCTATTCTCCATCCAATTAGATACTCTGTAGTGGGACTACAGACAGACACCCTGTGATGGGGCTAAAGACCGACACCCCATGGTGGGGCTATAGACAGACACCCCGTGAGGCAATCAAGAGACAGCAGCATCTCCAGAGAGGCAGGCAAATAGGAGAAGGAAGGGGCTGTTGGCAGCACCTAGAATACTCACCAAATCAGACACCCCATAATGGAGCTACAGCTACAAACACTCCATGACAGGGCTACAGACAGACACCCCACCATGGTGCTACCAACAAGTATTCCACCATGGAGCTACAGACAGACAGCTTACCATGGAGCTACAGTTATGAGACATCTCCCAGGACTAATTTTCTATTACTCTTAAATCCATGCACATTGGATCAGCAGCACTCCACCACTAGAGACAGTACCAGAGTCAGCCTGCAGTCCAAAAGAACTAGGTGGCCACTTGGGCTGGCCTCTGAATCTGTTGCTGGAGGGGGTCTACCAAACCATAGGCAGGTAGCCACAAGGGCAATCCTGGGCAAGCCCCAAACTTGTAACCACCCAGTAGGTTCACCTTGCCTGCTGCCTAGACAAAGCCAATTTATCAATATAGGGGAATTGCAATAGAGAAAGAGTAATTCACGCAGAACCAGCTTGTGGGAGGCCAGAGCTTTATTATTACTCAAATCAGTCTCCCCAAGCATTCGAGCCTACAGGAATTGGAGTTTTCAATGATAATTTGGTGGGTGGGGGAAATCCAGTGAGTCAGGAGTGCTGATTGGTTGGATCAGAGGTGAAATCATAGGGAGTCAAAGCTGTCTTCTTGGGTTGAGTCAGTTCCTGGGTAGGGAGCCACAAAATCAGATGAGCCAGTTTATCAATCTGGGCGGTGCCAGCTGATCCATCAAGTGCATGGTCTGCAAATATCTAAAGTACTAATATTACTTTTCATAATAGTGATGTTACCCATAGGAACAATTTGGGGGGTCCAGCTGCGTGACTTCTAAATTAAGATTTCTACTCTTGTGGCTAATTTGTTAGTCCTACAAAGGCAGTCTAGTCCCCAGGCAAAAAGAAGGTTTGTTTTTAGGGAAGGGCTGTTATCTTTGTTTTAAACTATAAATTAAAAACTAAGATCCCCCAAAATTAGTAGAGACTATGCCCAGGAATAAACAAGAACAGCTTGGAGGTTAGAAGCAAGATATTAGGTCAGATCTCTTTCACTGTCTCAGTTATAATTTTATAATGCTGGTTTCATAGACACCTGCTAATCCTCTTACCTAATCCAATAGACTTCCCCCCAGCCCTTGAAGTTGTCTCCCTGTGGCCCACCCAACATAGAGGGCACAGCCTGTACTTTCACCAGTAATCTGCTAAAATTATTCCGGTGCATTTTGGGGAGTAATTAAAGTAAAATTACATTTTGGGGAATAATTAAAGTATCCTCGTTTGTATAGTGGTGAGTATCCCTGCCTGACTTAGGAGACTGGGGTTCAATTCCCCGACAGGGAGTAATTAAAAAAAAAAATGTAAAGTAAAATTACTCTCCAAAATGCACTGAGTAAATGCCTCAAAATGCACTGGATGCCCACTTATGGCAAGGCCTCATTTCTTAACCAGAATGTGGTAAAGTGTGCTCTGCAGCATAAAAGCCCCCCCCAAAAATTTGATGATGAAGAGGGATCAAGCTCTGGATCCCTAGTAACGACAAAGAGGGAAATGTGTGTGTGTGTGTGTGTGTGTGTGTACACGCGTGCACACATGTAGGTGCAGGGTGGGGAGCATTACAAGATGTACAAGGCAGTGGAATGGATTTTTGCAGGGACTACTTATAAAATCAGTCAGGTCCTTTGCTTTTAGACACCTCCCATAGGTCTTAGCTGTACATGACTGGTTCCTCCAGTAGCTCCTGCACTTAGCAGCTAAGAAGGCCTTGCTTGGAGAGACAAGGTACCTGCCTTCACTTGCACACTGAATTTAAAACCCAGTTTAACCCTCCTTGTTTTGTGGGGTTTCCTCACAGTCTTCCAAGCATATCCTTCCAATGGGTGAAGCTGAAGGAGAAGACACCAGGAATGGCTTAAGAACTGAGTGCCCTTCCAAGTTTGAGCAATTATAAATGAAGCTTCTGTAAACACCTAAAAAAGAAAAAAAAAAAAAAAAAAGAGCTGAGTGCCACTTTAAGTAGATACTTCTTGGACTTTAAGTTATGAAAACAAAACACCCAGAACCAAAGTAAAAGCTGCTGGAATCATGACACAACAGCCACACTGGAGTTGTATTTGTTTTCTCCTGAGCAGTAACACTTTAAAGTTGTCCTGAAGGTTGTTGCCTGGTAGCAGAGATTTGGAGAGGTGGAAGGTAAATTTATAAATATATTCCATGACTAGAAAAGCAAAAGGATGAATTGATAAGGATTCTTTTTTTTTTTTTTTTTTTTCAGAGCGAAACTTGATAAGGTGTCTTAAGAAGCAGGCATTTTAAAAACAAAAAAACCAAGTTGTTCTTATGGTATTGTGACACTTCTGCATAATTTCCTAACAAAGACCAGCATTCATAGTGCTGAGGAACAGACTTTTCCAGGCATTTTACTGAATAAGCTGTAAAATTGCTAGCTTTGCCTTTGCTGGTGGCCTGCGAGGCACAACTTCTCTGGGCCTCTGCTTAACTTTCGCAAACAGCACAGCACTTTGAAACACCCTCTCCACTGAATACAAAGAACAAGTTGTTGATAAAGCTCTACTATCAAAACTTATTTGGATACTTACCTGGCAGGGGAGATGCCATGATCATGAAGGTGGTTTTCCCAGGGTGAGGCTCATTCATTGCACTCCGTAGCTGTGCTACTCCTGTGATTTTCCCAGATGCAGGAAACTCGACTGCATAATTTGTGGTAGTGAGGAACTACATTCATGTTATCCGCTGAAGAAAAAGAAAAAGACAAAGAAAAAATCTTATTTGGAGTTTAAAATTTAATTAATTAAAAATTTTTTCCTCTGGGGCCACATATCTAGGGGAAACTTTAACCCAGCACAGATACTGGGTCTGGATAACCTGCAATAACCTGGTGTCTGTGATGGGTTAATGTCTCCTCTTAACTCTTCAGAGATACTGGGTTATTGCAGGTCTGGATTACGTTGTGTACTAGCAAGAAAAATCAGTGTGCCATTGGTTCTTGGTATTCCCAAAGTCACAACAGTTATAAAACCCTGACTATAGCTTTCTTCATTGCTTCATCAGCTGTTTGTTGCTTAAACCTAGCTATACACAACAAAAGAAAGAAGAAAAAAACCAGTTTCTTGAAGAACTCGGAAAAAAGGTTGACAATGAAAGTTAAATTAGTAAAATCCATATGCAATAAAATAGATTAATAGAGACCACCCTGAGGAACCATTAACATACTTTGCATTAACAAACTTGAAGAAAGCACTTAGAAGATTAGGAAAAGAGAGTCAGAGAGCAGGAATTTTAGTCTAGAACTATCCAGGGAGAGAGGCACTTTGGTGGTGGTGGCAGTGCTGGTGGCACAGGAAGAGTGGAATCAAGGAGACTAGTTGAGGTTCCTGCTGTATGCCAGCTGAGAATGGTGATTTGGACTTGGATAAATGGTGGAAGTGGGGGTGGAGTGAAGCAGACAGATCCAAAATTTATTTTGGAGGTAGGATCCATGGAACTTGGTAAGGGGTTAGCTTATGGGAGTTGAGGAGAAGATAGCAGAAAGGCTGAGTCCCAGATTTCTGGCATGACTAACTGGATGGGTGAAGATATTCTTAGCTGAGATTTGGGGAGGAGCAAATTTGGGGAAAATATCAAATGCGTAACTTTGGATAGACCAAGTTTCAGATGGTGTCTTTGTCTATTTTGTGTTGATATTAAGGAATACCTGAGGCTGGGTAATTTATAAAGGAAAGAGGTTTATATGGCTCATGGTTGCGCAGGCTATACAATAAGCATGGTGCCACCATCTGTTCAGCTTCTGGGAGGGCTGCAGGTTGTCTCCACTCTTGGCAGAAGGGAAAGGAGGAGAGCAAGCATGTGCCGAGATCACCTGGTAAGAGGGGAAGCAAGAGAGAGCAGCGAGGTGCTAGGCTCTTTTTACCATCCAGCTTTCATGGGAATTAACAACCAGCATAATAGACTGAGAACTCACTCACTCCACCTGCCCCCACCAATCCACCCAGGGAGGACATTAATCTATTCATGAGAGGTCATCCTCCCTGACCCAACATCTCCCATTAGGTCCCACTTCCAGCATTGATACCAAATTTCAACAGAAGGCTTGGGGAGACAAACATCCAAAGCATTCTGCTCCTTTCCCCCAAACTCATGTTCTTCTCACATGCAAAATTCATAGTCCCAAAAGCGTTAACTTGTTCCAACACCAGCTTAAAAGTCCGAAGTCCAAAGGCTCATCTGAGACTCAGGGCAAATTCCTTTCAGCTGTGCGCCTGTAAAATCAAAAACGAGTTATTTAATTCCCAGATGCAATGGTTGTACAGGCATTAGGTAAACATTTTCATTCCCAAAGGGAGAAACTGGCCAAAAGAAAGGTAACAGGCCCTCACATGTCTGAAACCCAGTAGGGCAGACATTAAATCTGAAAGCTCCAAAATAAACTTTGACTCCATATCCTGCATTCTGGGCACATTGGTTTGAGGGAGGGGCTCCCAATGCCTCAGGCTTCCCCTATGGGTTTGCTAAGCGCCACTCTTAGGAGTTGGAGTGGAGTGCCTGAGGCTTTTACAGACTGAGGTGCATGGTGCTGGTGACTCCATCATTCTAGGGTGGAGGCCAGCAGCCCTGCTTCCACAGCTCCTAGGCATTGCCCTAATCGAGTTTCTCTGCAGTGACTTGCCCCTGTGGCAGGTTTCTGCCTGAGTGCTCAGGCTTTCCAGTACATCCTCTGACATCTGGGTGGAAGCTGCCAAGCCTCTACCACTCTTGCATTCTGGGAGCCTGCAGACAACGCCATGTGGAAGCTGCCAGAACTTAAGGCTTACACTCTCTGGAGCAGCAGCCTGTGTGATACCTGGGGCTGTGTGGGCTCAGGGTAGAGCTAGAGCAATTAGGATGCTCCTTACATCCTGAGGTGACACAGGGCTAAAGCACCCCAGGCCTGTCCCCTGAAACCATTCTGTTCTCATAGGCCTCAGTCTGTAATGGGAAGGATGACCTCAAAGATTTCTGAAATGTCTTTGAGACCTTTTCCCCTTTTATCCATGTTAATCTCTCTAAGAAGTGGTTGCTCCACATCACCCTTGGATTCGTCACCTGAAAACATTCTTTCCTTCTCTACCACAGGACCAAGTTATAAATATTCCAAATTGTTATGCTCTGTTTCTCTTTTAATTAGAAATTCCACGTTTAGATCATTCTTTTGCCACCGTATCTGATCATAAGCTGTTAAAAGCAGCCATGCCAGTTCTTGAATGCTTTACTGCTTAAAAATTTCTTGCACCAGATGCCCTAGGTCATCACTCTTAAGTTTGGTCTTCCACAAAGCCCTAGGCCATGAACACAATGCAGCCAAGTTCTTTGCTAAGGTATAAGATGGGTGACATTTGCTTCAGTTCCCAATAAGTTCCTCATTTCCATCTGGGACTTTGTCAGCATGGCCTTTACTGTCTATTTTTCTGTCTGCATTTTGGTCACAACCATTTAACCAAGATCCAAGATGTTCCTAATTTTTCCTAGTTTTTTTAGGTTCTTCAGAGCCCTCCAAACTCTTCCATCCTCTGCTCATTAACCAGTCCAAAGCCATTTTCACATTTTCAAGTATCTTTATAGCAACATCCCACTCCTTGGTGCTAATTTTTTGTCTTCACCTGTTTTGTGTTGCTATAAAGGAATACGTGAGGCTGAAGTAATTTATAAAGAAGAGGTTTATGTGGCTCACAGTTCTGCAAGCTGTACCATGAGCATGGCACCAGCATCCATTATTGCTTAAGCCTTTCACTGTTCAAAACTTTTGGTTACATGATATACTCTATGCTCATAATTGATGTTGTTGGAGCAAAACAGAAAGTGCAATGTATTTTATGTGTGTCAATAAAGGAATGATCTGTTCTTGTTCTATAGAGAATGGAAATTGGAAGAAAACACCTGTTGTCTTCCAAAGTAGGGTCTTCAAGCATTTTGTATTTTTCATTTAACTTGTTAGGAGGCTTGGAGCTATTAGTTAATTCATCTTCCAATACACAGTTTAATATAGCACTAAATAAATGATGCAAGTAGTCAATTAATGAGTAATCAACTAATAGTTCTACTAGTAATTGATTTATTTTTCTTTAATAAAGTCGTATAAAACAGTGAGTTAGCTGGCTGGACTAATCAGTATGGGAAGTAACTTTTTATAATGCAAAAGATTTTGGACAAGTTACCAAACCTGTTAGTGTTAGGTTTTTTTCAACTATAAAATAAGAATAACACTAACTCTCTGTAACGTTCATTTGTGGAATTAAGGAGACAATACTTATACAAGAAGTATGTTGGGATGATACCCCAAAGTATCCCCAAAACTTAGAATAAAATCAATGGGATCCAAATAAAAAGAATGAGGTTAGACACTAGTAGAAATGACACAGCCAAAGAGATTATTGGACTACTTGTGGGTGTGCAATAGTCTCAGGAACACCCAGATCAAATTTAAATAGCCTAGGTATATTGTCATCTCTGGAAAACTAGATTAGGTTAAGTCTAAACCTAATTATTTGCATAATAACATAGGAAGAAAACAATGTGCCAATCCCTACAGTGGGGACGCCCTAATAACAGACATGGAGGCATCAGGCCACTGAAGCATGGTGGCATCACCCTCCCCTTTCCCACCCCTGAGGTTTCATGCTCACTGGGCCACCTTCTGGTGACACATTTACAGATTTGCCTACAGAAAGTGGAGGATATGATGAACCAACAAGCGTATCCATCAAATCCCCTAGAGTTGTATCAGTGGAAATCTAAAAGCCCTAGGACTGGGACCTTGGCCACCCCACTGCCCTTAGTGCCTGGGTGATGCTGGAGAGGATGTTTGTAAGCCTCCATCTTTTTCTCCCATCCCAATCTAGTCAGTTTATATGGCAATGAGGTGAGTAAAGGAAGCTTTAGTGATTCAGGTTTCTGAGGTGGCCACCATATAATTCATCAATGACAAGACTGTGATGATGATTTCTCAGACTTAGCAAATACGAGCACTTATCCATTCTGAAGAAAAGCATGTCCGTTATGAGATGGTTTTTCATATGGCCTTTTCTGGTTTCCTTCATGTTTCAGAGAAAATCTTACATAAATAAAACTCCTTCTCCTTCTCCTTGCTTAGTGCCGCACTCTTCTTTTCTTCTTTCATCTCCCAGAATGCAGTCTGAACATCAATCATTTCCGCTGCCTCCCTTTTCCTCCACACTACCCTTTTTCTCATGACCATTCAGAATACTTGTCACTTTGATCCTGTGGAGATCTCTTTCTTCATAGTTCATTTCCTAGTTTTACTTTCTCCTATTGAATGATATCCCTCTCCTACCCATTCCCAGGACATGCTGAGTTTAACCACAGTCCATCATGCCAGAAAGACTAGTACGTGCTGCATGAGCAAAACACTGTTAATTCTTCATGGAACAAAATGAGATGTTTTCCTGAAGGGTTGTTGTTGTAATCTCTACCTGTATCAGACCAATAGACAAGCTGACCTTTAGAAGGTAAAACTAAACTTTGCCCTTTTCAACTCACCCCTCTTACCATGTCAGCCTCTAGGGATTGGCAAATAAGGAGGTAGAACTCGTTCTGTTTTATTAGTATTCTTTGCACTTAATGATCCTTGTGCGCTCCAGCTTTGGCATTAAACCAGCAATACTGACTTTGTTTTCAGTATGTGCAGAGCACCAAACCACAAGAGAAAGTGCATGACAGACAGACTCCCTGTCCTGAAAGA